CCAGCGGTCAATGCATCCTAGGAGCAACTCAGTTTCATTACTTAGTAAGCATTTGTTCTATGTTAGGTGTTTTGGATGATTATGACATTTTTTTGGGTAATTCAATAGTATAGTTAGTATGGTAACTCACTAAGCCAATGAGATGTTTGCACTTGCTGAGGTGATGATGAGGAGTATATGTCGTTCAAGATTGTCAGGGGCAGGAGGATGGACCTAATGGGCATTCAGCTGGACACCAAGCAAAGGCACTGCCGCAGGGAGCTTCGGGAAAGGTTCCATCCTGTGGACTTTGATGCCGGACAAATGTTGTACGAGGAGGAGTTCACAGAGAAGGAGAAAGTAATTTGGGACCGAATTGAGGCTGAGAGAAATCAACGCCGTGATTCATGGCTTGCATGGACACAGGACGAGGACGAAGAAGACAGTTGGACAGCAGCCGAACAGTCGGATAGGCCGCCGCCGAGGAAGCGCAAAAGCCCCACTCAGCCGGACGGACCACCGCCAGCAGTCACTCTGGCGCCAGCCGGTCAGGGAATTCAGCTGCAGCAGGAGGCCCTTGATGCTGCCAACAGGGCAAAACGGCAAACATGGGCGGACATCACAGAGGAGGAGGAGGAGGCTCTGAAGGAGAAGGGTACTGGAAAAGTTAAGGACGAGGAGGAGGAGGTGGAGGAGGAGGAGAAGCCAGACGGACATGGTGCAGAGGATTTGGACAAGGCTCATGAGGAGGAGGAACCTGCGGCTGATTCCCAGTTGGACTCCCCGCCGGACCCAGACAAAAACAAACATTACAGAGACTCTTTCGCACCAATGGACGAGGATGCGTTAGAGGAGCCTGAAGTGCCGGACTGGGAGGCCCAGGACGAGAATATGTTGGACACCGAAATCCAACAAGCACAGGCTATCGAGCCACAGCTGGATCCAACAGCATTGTCCGAACCACTGCCGGACCATGAGACGGACAAAGCTCAGAAGGACCAACTCAAACAGAAAAATGCTCAGTTGGACAAAGAACTCAAGCTGCAGCAGCTTAAGGTTCAGGAGTTGGAGCTGATGAAGGAGCTGGGCTTAGTGCCAGGCTGGACAAGTCACTGATCACTCACTACTGAATGAGTGAACACTAGTAGTACAGACTGCAACACCTTGTTGAATTGAGTGCTAATAATACTAAACTGTCATGTTCATCAAATGTTGCAAAGTCAATGAGGCCTGGTCAAATGCCCTAGATATTTTATGATGTTTGTAACACTACAGGCAGTAGTCAATCTTGAGCGTTTAATTTTTCAATCACTGCAGGCAGAGATGGACAAAGAGGGTCGGACTCCTATCCATGGAATGACGACCAAGTGCTTTGGCATGTAATTGCCAGTGCATTTTCCTGTGCTTGATGGGACCGGTCATTTGTTTGTTCATATTTCAAAGCAGTCAGTGGATTCAGTTGTGGCAATCCATTCCAAGCCTGCAGGCTTCATCCTCCAGCAAACGCAGTTGGGGCTCTGGCGGACAGAATTGGAACTACAGCAGCGCCTGGCGTGGACTCCGCTGATAAAAAGTGCAGCGGAGACAGACAAGTGATAAATTAAAGGATTCCCAATTGCTTCAGACTCTGTTATATTTTCACAGTCTGGCTGATTTAACAATTTAATGTATCCCAATACTCTCTCATTGTAGTCAAACTTGCATGTTCCCTGTCATGGTCTAATTCAGTGTGCAAGTCATGATGTGCCATTTGCACCTCAGTGCAGCATGTTGTTTTGTTGATTGACCTCTTGAGTTTTGGGAAACGCACAAGTGAACTACCATTGGAATAGTTTTGTGTGTGCAGAGTGGATGCCAGGTGCACTTTGGCTGGACAAGGGTGCAATGGATGGATTTGCGCTGGCCTTGAAGTACTGGAAGGGAGATCAAGCAATACAAGAGATAGACATTTGCCAAATGGCCATATCATGACCCATTGTTGAGATGTGAGGAGACTTGCTTTGTTGAGTCCTGCCAGGCTTTTGTCACCTTCTGACAGAGAAACCAATTTGTATACAATGTGACTTTCGCATTACCTCGTTACCTCACTGTTTGCAATAGCCTTTTGTCCATCAATTGCAATGAAGGACTAATGTTTCTGTATACTGGTTGCCTAAAATGTTTTCGGAAACAATGGCATGCTGGACACTGACACAGTGAATTACAATCAACTGACCAATTGGCTGAGGATTGGATTGAGCATCTACATCCCTATGGTTCCAGCCTGGCATGGTCTTTTGGAATTAGGAACCATGAAACCAGCATGTGCATCCCAACTGAGTGCAAATTGTAATATCAACTAGTTTGCATTTCTGGCCGGACAAACTCGATACTGTATAACTTACACACATATATTCTCCACCAAACCTTGGGTGGAGAACATTGATCAGCCACAATAAATTGTTGTTTCTTTGTGCTCACAGAAAACACTCATTTACTACATGGCAACAATACAGAACATAGAGTTCTAAAGCACCACTTCCTTACCTCAAGAAGCTGGTCGGCGTGTTGCTGCTATTCCGAAGTCTGTCGGATGGAGGGGGAATCACTTTGTTTTTGTGTGGCCCTATTGTGTGGCTAACAACTCTGCGACACCTGTGTAGTTGTGCTCATCAAGTACCACTGTGTGCTTTTCATTCTGTTGCTGTTACTGAGTCACAGCTCAATGTCAAGTATGTAATGCATAATAGATTAAGTTTAAATCTGTAGCAATTGGCTAACCAATGCCCCTTGCCTAATTGCCCAGATCCAGTTCAATTGCGCAGCGCAGCAGGAGTGGGAACAAGAACTATGTGTCCCAGCACTGCTTGGTTTGAGTCGGACACTCAACAGAGGATATATTTCAATTTAATATTTCATTTCTGAAGTGTCCAGGCAGTAAGCATTAATCTTCCCCATTGCAGTGACTACCTCATTGCTTGGCTTTTATGGCACAGTGTTAGTTGATCCTGCTTGCATTTGCTGCAGCTTGTGCTCAACTCATCAGCTTAAATCAGAACATCATTCTTGGTTAATTCATCAAAATTGTTCAATGCCGCGAAAGTCTGGGGGAATTCGGACACCATGTAGGAAGGCATTAGAACGTCGGGCAAAAAAGGCTGAGAAGAGGTCGATCAAGAATGAGCAGAAGTTCGCCTCTGCCATTCAGAGTAGCAAGGCCTCACTCGTTGAGTCGGACCATCAATTTGTGCTGAGCAC